GTCACAGCTAACACCAATTTCACAAGGCGCAAGTGTTGTCCATTCCAAACTTGAAGTTGGTAGGCAGCAACAACCATTTTCTCGCTGGACTGTAAAAAGTGTGATTTCGATCGTGGAAAATATACTACAAAGATTTAGTCAAAGAATCTTTTTCACGAATGATGTATGTCAGATTTAGTTCAACATGTAAAATAGAAGGGTAAAAGCACTTGTGCAAATGATGCTTCATGTGATCCGGTGAAATCACAAAATTTCACAGTTGAGCGAGAAAATAGTATTTGCTACCTAACAAGTTAAGGTTTTGATGGACTGGACGTAGCCCTTGTGCTTTAAATAGGTTTAATCCTGAGTAACCAATACTTCTTGAGTCTGTCGCTGATAGTAAGCACCATCTTGAACCACGTGAATAGAGACAGGATGATTAAAATTAATGTGGCTTCTACAGTACCTTCCGAAAACCAAATTAGATTAAGTTTAATCCTGCGCTAAAAGTTTGAATTCTGTCTCTGATACATCAGCGTTAGGGCCACCATGGACGATGTCAACGCGGACAGGATTATCATAACTCCTTTGGATTCTAGATTATCTTTCGGTAAACAAATTAAATTAGGTGTAATCCTGGGGTACCAATCGTTCTGAATTCTGTCTCTCATGCAACGGCTTGAGGACAGCCTTGGACCAGGTGAACAAAGACAGAATAAGCAGCACTGACACACCACTCTCAATAGTGAGTATGTACATCAACCATATTGGGGAGATTTCCTGCATCAGATACCCAATGACTAACGGGTTGATGATACCGGGCAAGGTGGAGGAGAAGACAATGATGGAGACGATCCTGGATGACAGCCTCAGTATCGACTCTTCCAGCCACATCATCGTCGACGGAAACTGTGAGGCGAGAGACAGCCCACTCAATGCAACACAGGCCCACACACCGATTTCATTGTCATAGATAGAGGACATTAGCAGACCTACTGCAGATAGAAGCATGGTGATAGAGGTGACGAGAATGAGAACAAATGGGGACACACGCTCCCGTGAAGAAGATTGTTGCAAACCTCATGGCTGCGTAACAGGCCCAGAATACTGATGTCAGTCTAGCTCCCGATGTTTTCGTCCAGTTCAGCTGCTCCACCACGAAGGTCAGGAGGAAGGATGCCAAACACGCCTCAACGGCCACGAGAAAGATAAAGATCAAAACAACAAATACCATTGTACCAAAGATATACACCATCGGTAACGGTTCGTCCAAATTGGCGTATCCAGTCATAGACTTCTGGGCATCAGCTGGTTCGGATCTGCGGCAGCACCTTTGGATCAGGAAGGTCAACGAAGCTACGAGGAACAGAATCCCTGTTATGAGATACGCGTATTCAACTTTTGTTTCTGTGACAACTATATCACAGTTTCCATTGTCTACAAAGTCACTGTTGTTCACGCAGATGTGAGAGAGAGGGGTGCTGGAGTTGTCTGCCCCTCGGGTATTGTTTGAGCTTGTACTATGTGCAAGGAAGGGTTCTGTGATGAGTGGGGAAAGCGTTCCCCCAAGAGCGAAGCAGAAGTGGAGAATCTGAATGAACACCCTCCTTTCAGCTTCCCAAGTCCTTATCAAATCTGTGTTACCACCTTGAAGAAAAAAAAAATAAATTAGGCATGGATCTCATTTCATGATGGTCGTGGCTCTTTAAAGTGAGTTATTTAAAAATTATGATTAAAAATGATACAGCTGAATTGAGCACAGTGTTAAATTCAAAAGAAGAATTGTAGAACTACCTAGCGGATTGGATGCGAGTTACGAGTAAATCTATCGGACATTTCAAAGTTGTCCTCTACATTGACGCAAACGCTTTAGCCATTACCCAGGTATCACTGCAATTAGTCAGCACATGCTTTCGCATTCTTATAATTCAATACATGTTGAAACTTAAAATTCATTGTATTACGGCAGCTGGGTCTGTCAAACTAGTGGTTGTCAGCAGAAGCATGTCTTTATCACAATCAAGTAATGGAGAATAGCGACTGGGACCCTATTGTGCCATCACATAGCTCGTTAATGGAAATTATTATGGCATTAAAATCAACTAATCATAAATAGTACCCAATTGACTGTTAGTTTCATGCCGGCACTAGCAGGGCGGGTGGGTGTACATTGTTTGTTGTTTAACGCCGTGCTCAGTCATTTTTCAGCAAAATGACGGCAGTCTAGTCTGGATCGAACAAACCAGTGATTGAAATCATCAGCAGCCATGTAGTAATTGGGATACGATGACATGTGTCAGCAAAGTCAGCGAGCCTGGTCACCCGATCCCGTTAGTCGCCTATAACGACAAGCGTGGGTTGCTGAAGATCAATTCTAACCTGGATCTTCTCGGGGTGGATGTGTGTATAAAAGTGTTTGGGTTGGTTTATTCGTCGCTTTTAAGAATTTTCAAGTAATATTACGAAGGACCACCGGCAATGGGCTTCACACATTGTACGCATATGAAAATCGAAACGTGTCCTTGGCGTGACGAGCGAACGCTTTAACCACTAGGCTACCCCACCGCCAGCGGATGTATAAGAAACTGGCGCAGTCAACAACGCGTAATTCCAACGACTACGCCACTTACAAGTAACGTGTCCAGCCCTAAAGAAGGACACGATTCCATGCATGAAGACCATCAGAATATACGGTGTGCACAACGGCAGAACCCCGACGGCTACAGCTGCCCCGAGCAGGATGAGGAACATCAGCAGGTGCTTGTTAAGACGGCCAAACAGGAAGCCAAAGGACAAGGAGCCGCACATGCTCCTGACGGAGGCTCCTGTGAAGAAACACAGCGGACTGTTGGGTGTTGGTGTTGGTGATGAGTTGGAGATCCAGCAGCGCCGGGCCAGTCTGGGCATTGCATATTCCCTGTCAACAAAACACGTGTGATAATCAGAGGTGCATTAACCACATCAAGGATTTAATACACGTTATATTTGGTATTACACTTTGTCAGTAAACTACAGATCCTAGTACTTTTGTTGCTGAGTCCCATTCGGGATTCGAACCCAAACTCTGATAGTCAGGCACCTAATCGCCAGCACACAAAGTCAGCCATCTTATCCATTCTGTAAAGGTGCGGTGTTACATTTGATCACTTTCTAAATGGCAGCTGTATTTATACAAATGATTAACAGTGCATCGACAATCAGAATATTTATTTTACCCTCACATGTTTACTCTCACTCTTTCTTGCCTCTTAACTTTCAAATAAAAAATGGGAGTAAGTTACCTCGTGTATGATGTGATTATGATGTGAAACGGGGTTCAACGGTACGTCTGTGCGTGTACGTGTGCGTGCGCGGGTGTGTACTATAAGGTTAGCCCACGACATGACGTGGCCGGGGTTCGAACCACCGACCTTCCACTATCTGGGCAAATACTCCATCTACTGAACCACGGGTACTATTACTAAGAGTCCTGTCAAACAATAAGATCTTAGCGCTATAACTGCAGTTTACTTTTGTCCCTACATAGACGTACACCAAACATAGAGTTAAGATCACTTTGCGGGACAGGATAAGAGAGTTAGTTAGCTGGAATATGAACGTGACTCATCAACGTTGTTAGTGTTAATAGATTCCCTTTGCAGGACATGGAGGAACACTGTGTCCCAAATTATTACAATTCTGTCAAAGCTCGTCTCTTTGCTGTTTCCAAGGTTCTTTATACATTGCGCCACTTCACCAGCTGATAGTCTTATTGTAGTACTACTGTTTTCTAATTTAACATTAAAATCAAAACCATTACAGTTCGTTTGATTTCATTTGAGACGGATGAATTGCTCACTAACACAAAATCTAATAATTGCAACAAAAGCAAATTTTGCACAGTCACATGAAATCGACAGACCAACTCTGATGATTTGTCTAATAATTTTGGACACCCAAATAAACAAGTTGTTTAACAAACAATCATTTTGTTGTCACTTACCGCTATTTTTTACGAGGGAGGACCACTTGCTGGTAGAACAGCCAGGTAATCAACAAGTGTGTGTATTTGTGCAAACACAACACAACAAGCAATTTAACACAACAGTTGTTTATTAATAAACATTTATTTGGCACAACTTGGGAGCTGACTGATAACTGAAGAAGGGATGACCAAGAGCTAGGTTGCCGTACTGGAACCGCTGCGCCGGCTTGGACGAAGAGGTGTGTGGAGTCTGCGGACTCTGATTGCTAAAGTGGGGTCTGCGGACCCGGCTGTAACCTGAGCTCTGGTTTAAAACTTGGGGGATAAGGATCCAGTGTTAAGTGGGTAATTGCCCGACCCAGTGATAGTTGGGTACCACCCCGAGGGAGGTGTGAAACCGCTGCGGCGGTGCAATGATATCCAGTCTGCGGACATGGACTATAAGGGAGGATCTGCGGATCCTTTTGTAACCCGGGAGAGAATTACATGAAGCATCAGTCAGCTCCAATACTTAAGCATGGAAACATTGTAATGTTATAGAAGATTAAGACCAATACTATGAAATACTACAAACATTTGACAGAATAGGAAAACAAATTGCAGGCTGTGGAAGGGGGTATGGTAGCGCGGCAGCGGCGCTTGACAATGAAAGATCCAGTCTGCGGACATGGAATATAAAGGGAGGATCTGCAGATCCTGTTGCTAACCAGGGGAGGAATTACATGAAGCATAGTCAACTTCAATACTCTGATCATGGACACATTGTAATGTTATGGAAGATAAGGCACTATGAGAGAATATGTACAAACAACGGAATGAACAAAACGTACCACCTGGGATTGGGAGGGCGGGTAGCAAATTTGTACGTGCTGTTATGTTGCGAGCACTATGACTTGGAGCAGAAGGAAGTAGAGAGGGGTTGTGGGAAGAAAACAAAGTGTGCGCATGCGCAAGGTATGTAATGGAAACGGTGCATACTTCCGCTGCTGAGAATACTTGGTAAGGCCAGGCGATACGTAATATTAAGAAGTGACACTTGAATGATTAAAGGTTTGCGCAGAAACATAGTACTACATACATCAATAGGTAAATGATACATACAAGTGGGAAACGTTTATCTGTTTGCACAAACAAAAATATATGAATTGTCATTTTGTGCAAACACAACACAACAAGCAATTTAACACAACAGTTGTTTATTAATAAACATTTATTTGGCACAACTTGGGAGCTGACTGATAACTGAAGAAGGGATGACCAAGAGCTAGGTTGCCGTACTGGAACCGGCTAACGCCCGGCTTGGACGAAGAGGTGTGTGGAGTCTGCGGACTCTGATTGCTAAAGTGGGGGTGTAACCCGATGAGCTCTGGTTTAAAGCCGCACTTGGGGATAAGGATCCAGTGTTAAGTGGGTAATTGCCCAAAGCCTGAATTAATATATTTAAGAGCTCGAGTCCCCATCCGGTATTAAGCAATGAGAGCCCCATAACCAGATCGTTAAAATGTAAACTGTAGAAGAGTCTGCAGTTGGCTTTAGAAGCACCACAGGAGACTAATCAAACACTGTGTGGATACCTGTTTTCAGGATAAGGATCCAGTGTTAGCTTGAAGATCTGCTTTGGGGCTAGTGTCCGGAACCGAGCGATCTGCAGCCGAGATATAGAGAATCAGCAATTTGATTAGAGACACCAGGCACATGTTTTGCATGGTACAACAAAAATTCAAGGAGAAGCAAAGCAGAGAAAGCTAACCCCGCGCATGTAAGGCATAATGGTAATTGCCCAAAGCGAAGACCGCCCAGGCACCACAACTGAATTAATATATTTAAAATCATGAGTCCCGGGGAGCTGGCGTCACAGAGTAAATATTTAATCCCACAAGCAATGAGAGCCCCCCTCAGAGTTGCATAGGGCTAGCCCGATGGTTAGAAAACTTCAGTGGAGCTAACTCTAAACAGTTCAAAAGGTGAATGTTTAAATCCAACAGTGGTCCATCGATATAGCCCTTGTCAGTTCTTGTTGCACTAATGCAGTAACAGTTCTTGGTCTTTTCAAAAGAATGTTTAAAATGCACTCCCTTTGTCCAGTTGTTCCTACACTCCCAAGTTTCATCTGGCACTGATGACACAAGGGGATGAAAACCATATTTAAGTCCATTGGTTACATATTCTACAAAGTCTCCGTCTGGATGGGAAGCCAGTTCTTCTTGTAACTAGCCTCGTTAAGTGGTGTCAATGATGGTCATTTTTTCGTATTATGACTGCTTCCTTGTCGTGAGCATGTTTGGTCTTCGGCAATCGAGCTTACTGTGACCTTGGCCAAAGCAAGAGGCACAAACATGAAGAAAATTGCACCCGCGACCTCATGCATCCGTCCTGGTTGAAGTTATTGCAAACTTCTCGCCCTTGGTGTTGTATCCTCTGCCGTCCATATGAATCTGTTGTAGTCGATGAAGGGGTGTAGGTCTTCCTTATGGCTGCCGCCCGAGGCAAGTCACTCTCTTGTCCCAGCACTGATGGGCATGTAGCTGTGTCATGGCTAATGCTGGCACATCGTACGCAAGACCTACAGCGTAGACCGGATGTACAGGTCGTGTAGATCCTGGTATCGGGGATCCCCAGTCGAGGTGTATCCCCTCTCAGCTAGTGCCGCGCGACACGAGCAGCAAAGCGTTTGTGGTATTCATAATGGACCGAAACCACCATACAGGTTGTGTAGCTCTCCAACGGTATGTTCGTGTTGGTCCAGTTGGGCTCTTCTGTTTGGCCACGCTTCGCTGAAAATGTCTTTGTAGATTTTGAAAGATCTGGTAAATTCAGCAAAATTCAAGTTTCTGCTGAGTCGGGGATCGGCTTTGACAGTCCTACACCCTCCTGATTCTTCTGAGACTCTATAGTCTCCGGCTTCTTGTGTAGGCAGCAGCAGTGATGCTAGATTAATATATTTCCCCTGGTGTATTTTCCTTCTAGTATGTTCATCCACAGAATTTACATAGGGAATGGTATCAGATGACACGAACTGTACTGGAGGTGGATTTTTTTTCCAGTGATATGTTGTCATCGTTTGACCTACCCCTTGAATTTAGTTGCTGTGAGAGGGTAGAAATCAGATCCTTCATTTCTCTCATTACGCCAATCATGTCAGCCGAAGGAGTTGGTGGTGTCGCCCTGGTATCGGATGTCTCCTCGGTGTTCCCGGAAATTCCAATGTGCGAGGGGGTGTGCTGTGAAGACGGAATGGCCGATGTCGGACTTGAGCCACTGTTACGGGGGAGGGTTACTGGAACCGCCTCTACACCCCTGCTGATCGCACAGTTCTCTTTGTACAGCTGCAACACGGTCTTCCTCCCCCATGTCGAAGGCACACTAACCCCAATAGCCTGTAGTCTCTGGCGTAACACATCTGTAGTCAGATATGGAGCGTTCTTGGTACTGCGTGTTGTCCCGTCCTCATCTCCAACATGGCGGTGCGTATCAATCCCTTCGTTGGTTGAGGAGGGCGCACTTGAGCTTGCAGCGTATGTTCTACCTCGCCTTGCAGAGCGTCTGGAGGCCATGTCAGCGATAGTTGGCAGCTTACCATCGACCGTGAGGTATAGTAGCCACAATACCAATCACTTACGGTGCCAGAAAAGCGGGTAGCAAATTTGTACGTGCTGTTATGTTGCGAGCACTATGACTTGGAGCAGAAGGAAGTAGAGAGGGGTTGTGGGAAGAAAACAAAGTGTGCGCATGCGCAAGGTATGTAATGGAAACGGTGCATACTTCCGCTGCTGAGAATACTTGGTAAGGCCAGGCGATACGTAATATTAAGAAGTGACACTTGAATGATTAAAGGTTTGCGCAGAAACATAGTACTACATACATCAATAGGTAAATGATACATACAAGTGGGAAACGTTTATCTGTTTGCACAAACAAAATATATGAATTGTCATTATTTTTTCAATTGTTCCTAACAAAACAAAATAGCTGAAAAATCATTTTTGGTCAGGGTAGGTGCCTTGTAAATCAAAGAACTTTTAATAACATTTTTGGTATTAAAACGAAGTGTTTTGTTGTTATTGAAACTTCACTCTGGCAACACACCAAATTTGACGGATTATGCCTACCATGAGCAGGTGAGAACAGCGGTGCATCACAGACACACTGGCAAGTAAACGTTGCTCCATTTCATCCCCACATGCTCTATAGGGGGAGAGACCTGGGTGAATTTGCAGGCCAAGGCAGTAATTGAACATTGTGCTGTTGAAGAAAGTCATAGCCCCTAGCTATGTGTGTGAGAAACAGGCATTATTCTGTTGGAATGTCAGTTCTGATCCATGATGTTGAAGCAAAGAATTGCCTCTGGTCTGAGAATCTGATCTCTGTAGCTCCCCAAGTCATCTGTTGACATGTTTAAAGTCCACCATTATGGAAAATATCAAAATCTGGACTCATCTATGAAAAGAACAGTCCTCCAGAAATGAGCATCCAGTATGCACAAATGTATATAACGGATACAGAAAAAAGTATTGCATCCTCCGGGATGCACAAAAGATATCAATGTACCAAATTCTTGACAAGAAATATAACGTTCCTGTTTCAAACATAATCATCACATCTGAAAGCACAATACACTACACTACAGCACCCTCACATGTCCTGTATTGGCCCATGAAACAAGTATTTGGGGTCCTTTGAACCCTTAATTTTGTAGAGACAGGGGCGAAACTCTATTTCATTAGCTGTTAAAACTTCAAACAATTAAGCTTCCCAAATCCAAAGCAGTTTTTTGGCGATTCATTGCCTCAATACAGTTTATCAAGCTGCACAAACACAAACATGTTTATGCTCATGCTGAAACCACTTGAGTCCTGAAACATAACACATGTTTAAAATATTCGTTTAAGATTCTTAATATAAACGAACAATGTCTTACCAAAATTAACTTACAATATGCTCTTAAATCTGGATAATTTGGGATAACATACTTGGACAACTGTTATCAGAAATTTACTATTTTCTCACGGTTTCAGTTTCATATAGTTGGCGATGTGAACAGGTTTATTAATGAATTTCATGTTGGATCAATAGATATGTTTTATCAAGAATGGAAATCCACCTTTGATTCAAAGCTCACTATTTGAATAATACAGGACCTTTAAAATGTTTCTCAGGACAGGAAAATATTTATCAATAATTACAACATATACTAGTAGTTTAAGAACAATGTTTGGTAAATATCGTTTAGGTTTGTTATCTTTCATGATTAATGAGGGTAGAAAAACATCTGTCGAAAAGAAGTCGATATTGTCCTTTATGTAACGTAGGAATAGAAGATGAAATTCATTTTACACTGAAAAATCCTTGTTATCAAATTAAAACAGAAATATATACCAGACCATTTTCTAACAAAACAATCCCTATGTGCATATATGTGTCTTTGTTACAAACTAATAATAAAGAAAATATTCTTGTACAATTGTCTTTGTATATAAAGCATGCATTAGCAAAGAGAACTTCTTATAAAACGAATTGTATACCCTTAAATGCTTATATGTAAATATCAAAATATTCCTTTATATCTGTAACTCTCATGTAAATGGGCTGTAGGCCTGTCATACAATAAACCTCTTTTGACTTTGACACATGTATATGCATATGTGTTCATTTCACAAATTACTGTGTTGCACAAGTGGTTCCAATATATTTTTATTTCTTATGTGCACCGTTTCTTTTGGTGGCTGGTATATATTGCCTGACCCTGACCTGACAAGGCTGAGGACATGTGCGCTCTATCTGCAATGTGTCAGGTGTTTCCTAGATCATAATGATTTTCTTCTGAAGCTATCCAAATAATATATATCAAATTGTGTTGTTGATATTTCCAGTAGATTTGAAAAAAATGTTCATGGAACCTAATGGAGGAATGGATGGACACAATAAAACCTGATGAAACTGATCCAAACCCATTAAAATGAATATGATACTTTCACTGTTACTCCTTGTACCTTCATTGCAAATTCCCACAAAGCTGATGCAACACCTCTCCTCCTGTGGTTTTGAGAGACATACAGATCCTCAACATACAGCACACGGCCAGTGAATGTGCCATATGACCAGAAGTATAGTAAGTAGCCAATCAGTTGTGAAGTATCTGAAACAATATGTCAGTACAATGTATTACTGTCATTTAGCATTTTCTTAGGCATATATATACAAATAAAATTCACAACAAAATAAACCAGAAGACAAAGTCATCAATATCCCCTACACAGCGGAAAAATACTCTTTATGAATATGTCTACTAGTTATGACCATGTCAAATGTTTTTGGAGTGTATATAGCAAAGTGGAAGGAGGGTATTGAAGGTTTTAAGATCTGCTCCAGAAGGTGAGTGAGTGAGTGAGTTTAGTTTTACTGCCCAAACGCTCAGCAATATTCAAGCTATATGTCGGTCTGTAAATAATCGAGTCTGGACCAGACAATCCAGTGATCAACAGCATGAGCATCAATCCTGCGCAATTGGGAACCCGATGACATGTATCAACCAAGTCAGCGGCGTGACCACCCGATCCGTTAATTAAGCCTCCTCGACAAGCATGAGTAAGCCTTTGTGGCAAGCATGGGTTGCTGAAGACCTATTCTACCCGGATCTTCACGGGTCGGCTCCAGAAAAGGAGCACTACCACCAAATTCAGTTGGAAGCCTAACTTGTTGTCATGTCAAGAAGATGACATCTTCATAGTCACAGCCTAAGTCACGTTTCCATGGAAAAATTTGTATCTGGGTCTAACCATCAAATGGCACATCTATGGATCATGCTTGACATGTGTACCAAGTTTGTGAAGCTAGCATGTATAGTTTAGGAGATCTGCTCCAGACAAGATGACATCCTCATAGCCACAGCCTAAGTCACATTTACATGGAAACATAAAAAATAACATTCATATCTGTGTCTAACCTCCAAAGGCACATCTATCGATCATGCTTGACATATGTACCAAGTTTGATGAAGCTAGCATGTATAGTTTGGAAGATCTGCTCTGGACAAGACAACATCCTCACAGTCACAGCCTAAGTCATGTTTCCATGGAAACAGCAAAACAATATAATTCATATCTGGGTCCAACCCAAAGGCTCATCTAGGGATCATGGCTGACATGTGCACCAAGTTTGGTTAAAGGTCACATGCAACCAAAAAATCAAACATAATTAAAAACACAATTATCACTTATTCGTGACATATAATATACATTGCTGGTTATGAAAAACATATAAACAAAATTATAAGCGCGTACAATCGCAAATCAAAAGTGCAATATTGTGTACTTTCCGGTTTACTTCCCAAAGAAACGAAGCAGCCGGGATACCGAACCCAGTCAGAAGCGGGTGGGTGTGCACTCAAGTGTAACGACTGGTTCATTTGCAGATGCCCTCCACGGGTCATTGTGTGTGTATATATAGAGATGTTGGGTTTTGTAAATACATGCTCATTTTTTGTGTATAACATTTTGCAATCAACAGACATCATAACATGTCATGTGTTCAAGTATCACGCCTGCCTGTCTGTGTAATTACATAATGTGACAGAGACCGAACTTCGGGCCATAAATCAATGCATTTTGTTTATGGTGTATAGCTTGATTGGTGTTAAGTTCAAATTGCATGGGGTCAGTGATAGCAGCTGTGTATTGAATATTGTCATTAGCAGACAGGCAGGCAGACACACAGGTGTCAATAAAACAAGACATTGAGTTTAGTCTGTGACAACGACATATCTATATCACAGTTGGAAATTCTGTCAGCGCTAAATAATGGCATTGCTTTTAAGTATCGAACTGAGAAAGTGACTCGGTAAGAAGAAGCGTGTGGTGAAATAGACAAATGAAATTATATAGACAGTTAGTTTACTGTCATAACATATAAAAGCTCGCCTGTGAGATATCAACAAAACATTAGAAAAATAGCTCACACCAAAGCCTTCACCGGTATTCACGGGACAACCGCTTCCAAGCTCTTGTGAACCTACTTTACTGCGCACGTGCTATAAAGCGCAGCCCAGCTGTTGAAACCCGTTTTCCCCAGAAAAGTCGGGGGAAAATTAGTGAAACGTTTGAACTCCGATTTCGCCGGGTTTTTCATCGCGTTATTTTTCAACTTTATAAGTTGAATTTGCATTTTGGCCGATTTGTTTTGGTAAGTCCATACGAAGGTATCAGAATCTGCAAGAGTTGTGTTTTACGTTGCATGTGACCTTTAAGCTATCACGAATAGTTTAGCAGATATGCTTTGGACAAAGTGTGATGGATGCCCACGGATGCACGGATGCGCGGACAGACATACACGGACGAGAACACGCCAGTATCCCCTTCTGAGTCTATTGAGCAAGCTGGGCCTGGCGAAGACTTTGAACCAAGGAACCCCGCGCCTTCATTTTAGCGACCAATTTTGACTTTCTGTTTTACACTGAATATGGTGTGTGACCTGTCTATGACCAAAAAGTTCTTTATTTTCATTTTTATGGCAACTTGATTGAGACTGATCACGATCGGTCTTATAAATCGAAACTGGA